GTGGGGGGCGGTTTGGGGAGATAAAGCAGAAAAAAAAAAAAAAAGATTGGCAACAGTTGTTAGCTTAGGTGCCAATCCTTAAAAAAAAATATAAATCATTTCAGAGGAAAAATGGGCAGAACGTGGTGACCAAAAATAAAGAGCTAGGGAAGAGGAGTTCAAATGCATTTACAGTCAAATCCGTTTCCATGTGTTGCATAATGAGATTTCAGCCAATGGTGAACCACATACAGATCGGTGGTCCCATAAGATTATAATGGAGCTGAACAATTCCTGCTGCCTAGTGACATTATAGCTGTCGTAACATCGTAGCACAATGCATTAGTCACATGTTTCTGGTGATGCTGGTGTAAACAAACCTACTGTGCTGCCAGTCGTGTGAAAATATAGCACATATAATTATGTACAGTATGTAATACTTGATAATGATAATAAATGACTATGTTACTGGTTTATGCCTTTACTACACTAAGCTTCTTATCATTATTTTAGAGTATACTCTTTCTACTTATATAAACAAAGTTTACTGTAAACCAGTATTTCATGTTACTCCAACAGCAGCCTCATACATCTCGTGTTTACTGCGTCTCTTGAGTGCAGCACTTTCTCTTGTGCTTGATTTGGTCTTGTGTTGTTTTGTTCATCGTGGCCCCTAAGTGTACAAAATCCACTGCTAATGTTGCCAGTAAGAGGCCATTTTGAGTGATTGACCTGGAAACAAAATTAAAAGTGACTAAGGACTATGAAGGTGGAAAATCAGTGATGGTTATTGCTCACCAGTCAGGCATGTCCCATCCACCATAGCTACGATCTTGAAGAACAAGAACAAAGTGATAGAAACTGTTAAAGGATCTGCTTCATGGAAGGCAATAAGACCAACGAAAATTCGAGAAGGGTCTGTATCAGACATGGAGAAACTTCTAGTGACCTGGATTGATGACCAGACACCGAAGCACATCCTTCTTAGCACCATGAGGATCACGGCCAAAGCAAAAATTTTATTTGCAATGTTGAAAGAAAAGGCTGGACCCGAATACCATGTTGAATTTGCCACTCGCTCTGGGTGGTTAAATGATTCAAGAATCATTATTCATCACGTAATGTGAAAGTAAGTGGTGAGTCTGCGAGCACTGATGTGGAGGAAGCCAAAAAATTTTCAGAAACTCTAGATAAGCTGACTGTGGAGGGAAATTACTTGCCAGAGCAAATATTTGATATAGATGAAATCTTCCTATTTTGGGAATAGAAGCCTGAAAGGACTTTCATGCATAAGGAGGCCATATCAGTGCCAGGTTTCAAGGCTTCTAAGGCCAGGATAACAGTCTTGCTTGGGGGGCAATGTTGCAGGCTGCAAATTGAAACTCTGTGACCTGGCACAGTGGGAGCCCCCGGGCCTTCAAGCACATTGACAAGCACACACGGCCAGTGCACCCCAGGAGCAGTAAGAAGTCAGGGAGGACCCAGCTCTTCTCCCGACTTACCCTCCTGAATTGCTATGCCAGAGAAATGGAGAAGTACTGTTTGGAGAGTAACAGACTTTTAAAGATTTCGCTTATGATTGATAATGCTCTTGGTCATCCTCCTTTTATTGGTGATCTTCCTCTCAATATCAAAGCAGTGTCTCTCCCTCCAAACACCATCTCTTTGATCCAACCAACGGATTAAGGAATTATAGCAGCTGTTAAGGCCTGATACCCGAGGAGGACCTTTGCCCAACTGCTGCAACTGAGGAAGACACTGAGAAGAGACTGATGCAATTCTGGAAGGATTCCAGCATCTGTGACGACATCAAGAACCTTGCTCGGGCTTAGGGTGATGTCACCAAGGAATGTGTGAATGCCATCTGGAACAAGACACTCAAGAGGTTCGTCCATGGCTTCAAAGGATTGGACAAGTATGAGGAGGCTGCAAAAATCAACAAGGCTGTGGTTGAGATGGCAAACAACTTGAACCTGGGTGAGGATGAGAATGACACTGAGGGGCTCCTACAGGTGGTCCCCGAGGAGTGGACTGATGAGGAATTGTTGGAACTGGAACAGGAACACACAGCTGAAGAAGAGGCAAGAGAAAAGGAAACTGAAGGAGAAAAAGAAGATGAATCCCCAAGAAAATTCACAGTGAAGGGTTTAGCAGAAGCTTTTGCAGACCTCAACAAGCTCCTTAAAAAGCTTGGAAACACTGGGGCTGGCCACTTGTCGAGTGGTTAAGTTTGTGTGCTCTGCTGCGATGGCCCAGGGTTTCACTGATTTGGATCCTGGGCACAGACATGGCACCGCTCATCAGACTACATTGAGGCGGTGTCCCACATGCCACAACTAGAAGGACCTGCAACTAAGATGTACAACTATGTGCTGTGGGGATTTGGGGAGATAAAGCAGAAAAAAAAAAAAAGATTCGCAACAGTTGTTAGCTCAGGTGCCAATCTTTAAGAAAAAAAAAAAGCTTGAAAACATGGACCCCAATATTGAAAGGTTTTTTTTTTTTTTTTTTTTTTTTGAGGAAGACTGGCCCTGAGCTAACATATGTTGCCAATCTTCCTCTTTTTGCTTGAGGAAGATTATCCCTGAGCCAACATCTGTTGCCAATCTTCCTCTTTTTGCATGTGGGACGCCACCACAGCATGGCTTGATGAACAGTGTGTAGGTCCACGCTTGGGATCTGAAACTGTGAACCCTGGGCTTCTGAAGCAGAGCATGTGCAGTTAACCACTACACTAATGGGCTGCCCCTGAAAGCTTTCAGTTAATAGAGAGGAATGTTCATGGTGCATTATCTGCTTACAAGCAAATCTGTGATGAAGAAAAGAAACAAATCAAGCAAACCACCATGGACATTTCTGAAAAGAATGACACCTCCTTTAAAAGAACTTCAGGCAGGTTCTTCAGGAGGCGTTCCAGAAGAAGGCAGTGTTATCACAGGAGGTGACAGCTCTATGCATGTTATGGCCCCGAAGACCTTCCAGTGGGACAAGATGTGGAGTGGAAGACAGTGATATTGATGATCCTGACCCTGTGTAGGCCTAGGCTAATGTGTGTGTTTGTGCCTTAGATTTCTTTTTTCCTTTTTTTTTTAGTGAGGAAGATTAGCTCTGAAGTAACATCTGTTGCCAGTCTTCCTCATTTTTTTTCTTTTTGCTTGAGGAGTATTTACCCTCAGCTAACATCTGTGCCAGTCTTCCTCGATTTTGTATGTGGGTCACCAGCACACCATGTCTTGACGAGCAGTGTAGGTCCACGCCCAGGATCTGAACCTGTGAACCTGGGCGCTGAAGTGGAGTGTGCTGCATTTAGTCACTACGCCACGGGGCCGGCTCCTGGGTCTTAGTTTTTAACAAAAAAACCTTAAGAAGTAAAAAATAAAACACGAAATTTTAAAAATAGAAAAAAGCTTATAGAATAAGGATCTAAAGAAAGAGGATATTTTTGCACAGCTGTACAATATGTTTCTGTTTTAAGCAGTTTTATTACAAAAGAGTCAAAAAGTTAAAAAAATTAAAAAGTTTATAAAGTAAAAAAGTTACAGGAAGCTAAGGTTAATTTATTATTGAAGAAAGAAAAATATTTTTAATAAATTTAGTGTAGCCTAAGTGCACAGTGTTGATAAAGTCCAGAGCGGTGTCCAGTGACGTCCTGGCCCTCACATTCACTCACCGCTCTCTCACCGACTCCCCCGGAGCGACGTCCAGTCCTGCAAGCTCCATTTGTGGGAAGCACTCTATACAGAGGTGCCATTTTTTTTTTTTTTACTTTTTAGTGAGATTATGATAGTTTACAACCTTGTGAAATTTCAGTTGTACATTATTATTTATCAGTCATATTGTAGGTACAGCACTTTGCCCCTTGTGCCCACCCCCCACGCCCCTTCCCCCTGAATCACTAATCTGTTCTCTTTGTCCATGTGTTTAATTTCCACCTATGAGTGGGGTCATACAGAGATTGTCTTTCTCTATCTGGCCTATTTCACTTATAATACCCTCAAGGTCCATCCATGATGTTGTGAATGGCCCGATTTTATCCTTTTTTATGGCTGAGTAGTATTCCATTGTGTGTGTGTGTGTGTGTGTGTGTGTGTGTGTTTATCATATCTTCTTTGTTCAATCCAGATGCACCATTTTTCAATCTTTTATCCCATATTGTTAGTGACGTCTAGATATGTTTAGATACACAGCTGCTTACCATTGTGCTACAATTGCCTACAGTATTCAGCACAGTAACATGCCATACAGGTTTGTAGCCTAGGAGCAACAGGCTATACCACATAGGTGTGTAGCAGGCTATACCATCCAGGCTTGTGTAAGTGCGCACAATGATGAAATTGCCTAACGATGCATTTCTCAGAATGTATCCCCGTCATTAAGTGACACGAGCCTGTACTTACAGCTTCCTGTGCTGTAACTCTGTGCTAAGCACTCAAGATACAAAAACAGTTAAAGAATGGTTCCTGTATTTAAGTAGCTGGAAGGACAGGCAAGTATACTGATAAATACATGCAATGTCATGCATGCAGTGATACACATGTGTGCAGAAATAGTACACAAGAGGCCTCCAAGAATGCTTCGAAGTTTTCTAGCTCCAGGGACTTGGTGGCCATCGATGTGTGTTTGGATCAGAGAGGAGAAACGGAAGAGGAGTAGGCTTCTCTCCAGGCATCGGTTTGATGTTCATGAAGCAGTTGGAACTTAAAGATATTCCAGCAACAGTCAGTCACACTCCAGCTCATCCTGGATTTGCAAGAGTTACAGAAAAAGGAGAAAATAGTAGTTGTTTTTAAAAAACCATGCTGGCATAATGTTTCTCCTTTTAAATGTTTTTGTTATGAATATGAAGAGAGAGAGACTATTAATTCCCTCTTTATCTCCCACAGTCCTAACTTGAGTTTTAAAAATTCATCCTGCACTAATTACAAGGGTTCTATCTATTCACTCTGAAAACTTCTGGTTCACTTCTTATTTTTTTAAAAATAGAAATTGCACTGAAGGCTAATCTTGTTTTTGTTTTTCAGGCAAGAGGATGATATCCTACGAGGGTCTCATGATCACCTTCTAAAGGTCAGATGATGTTTACCTTACAGTGACCTTACCTAATGTGGATGCAACAGGGCTCCATGGGTAGAAGGGGTTTATGCAGAACATTGCACAGTTCGCAAAGATTAATGAAAGAAGCAAATGCAAATGCATTAACTTAACCAACTCTCTGGAAAGCGAGTTTAACCAAAGGTAGAGATGAGTATAATATCAAAGCTAACTTAGAGACTATTCTGAAGTCTGTACTGTTCTTTTTTAAAAAAAGAATAGAAATTTCTTCTAGGGAGCTCAGAGAATTTGTCCAATACTGTTCCAGTTTCAGCTCTCATCTGGAGCCTGTAACGTGCTGGTTCACTAGAGAACATTACCAGCCCTGATGTTAGGAATCAAGGATGATGTACGGTTATAGGTTTTCCATACAATAGTGGGAGAGAAGTTTTATGCATTGCTGTGTTGAGGGGGAAAGAGAGTGTAGCTTAGAAATGAGCATAAACAGATCTAGGACGTCGCTGTACGTGAGCATGAAGAAGGCGTGTGAAGCCAGCTGCCTTAGCATGGACCGGGGTTTCCACCCTTTTGGATCTCACTGACCTACTGAGTGCTGGGGTTTTGCAGGCAGGTAACCTTTTATTTTGCCAACACAAAAGCTAGCGTTTGCTTTTACTCTAATTTAGGAAAGGATGTTTTAACACGCAAGCGTGGGAAGGACTTTGTGGGTGATAGCCACGCATTCAACAAAAGCCACCGCTGGACTCCAGTTCCCAGCCTTGCAGTTGGATGGACCGTGGGGATGTGGCGGAAGTGAGGCTCACCTCTTGCTGTCCTGGCCCACAAAAGCCTCCCACAATCCTCCTCTCTTTTGTTCCCCAGGTAAGGAAGTGGTGCTCAGGTGACATTGATAGGCTTAGCAAAACAAAACAACCCCAAAAACATGAGCAAATGAACAAAACCCCAAAACAAGACCACAAAGGAGCATGTCTCTTATCCCCTCTCCAGCCTTGCGGTCTCCTTCTAGCACCTCCAACTGGCAGAACTTTCAGGAAACAGTTGTCAAAGCTGAATGTGGTTTGCAGAATTCCAGTTCCAGCCCCATAAAGCTGGATGTAAAAAGGTAGGTTTTTGAGAAGAGTGACAATAGCTTAATTACCAGCACAGTAAGAAGTATACTTTTATTGTATTGTATTGTATTGTATTGTATTGTATTGTATGTTACAGCAGCTAATCAAAACAGTTTCTCCAAATAAATTTAAATTGATTAAATTTAATTTCATGAAACCCAGTACATTTTCCTCCTTTTTTTCTTACTTCGTTGGGCATTTGGTGAAATCTTACCTGCGGGCACGGTGCATGGGGCGGTGTGTGGTAAGCACTGGTGCACATTTCTCTGCCCTCTCCTCCAAGCGTTTGTTTCTATGCTCAGATGTTCGCAGAACTGTGGGAGCGGGAGAGGAAGGAAGGCTCGTGGCTGCGGGCAGGAGCAAGGCGGAGGGTGGAAGAGGAAATCATGATTTGGTGCCAGTTTCCTTTGGACTTCTTGGATTGGGTTTAAATTCCTCTGGTTAGAGGCGTGGGAGTGAAACTGACCTGATTCTTGTGAGAAATCTGATTGAGGGTGTGTGATCAGTAGCTGACAGAATTATTCAAGAGAAGCTTTGGGGTCCAGGTGACAGAGTGTGGCATAGAGCTGAGGAAGAGTTAATATTCTGTATGTATTTTGGCAATGATCTGGCAGCCAGCAATTGAGGGTTTTGAGTACATCCCAAGAAGGCACATGAGCTGGCCTCAGCTCTTCCCTTCTCCTCTCCCACTGCTCCAACTATACTGGTCTCCTAGATATTTCTGGGACAGGTTTGCTCCCACCTCAGGACATTTGCACCTGCTATTCCCTCTGCTTGGGATGGTCTGACTTCAGATTCTATCAGCTCATTCCTCACTTCCTTGAGGTCTCTGCTCAAAATTTATTAGGAAGTCCTTTCCTTATTGCTCTGTATAACCTCCCATCTTTCCTTTCCCACCCACACTCATCCTGGACTCTAGTTGCCATCTGACACATTATATATTTCTTTCTTTATGGACTGTATCTCCACACTAGAATATAGATGCTATGAGAGCAGGGGTTTTGTCTATTTTGTTCACTTCTTTATCCCTGGGACCTAGAACAGTTCCTGGCCCATAATAAGTCCTTAATAAATATTAGTTGAATTAATATTGTTGATGGCACTTCTGACATGGATATACTGCTCATTCCCATGACCTTTCTAAAATATGCCTCCTGTTTTGTCAGTCCCTTATTTAAAACTCCTCAGGCGGTTTCTCTTTGCTTTCAAAATAAATTTCAGGCTCCTTTCAATGGCCTGCAAACCTTCCTCAAGCTATGTCCCCTAATATCGCCAGTCCCACCTATGGCCACTCATCTCTTTCTACTCTACTCCTCTGCCATATTGGAATACTTGCAGTGCCCAGTGGAGCCGTGGTCTCTCTGATCTCCTGAGTTTTGCACGTGGCCACTTTTCCTTTGAAGATACTTTCCACCCCTTTCATCCTTTAGGATTCAGCTTTAGACATCATTTCTTCTGGGAAGTCTTCTTACCCTCAAGGCCGGGTTAGTCCAACACTGCCCGATGTCTAGCTTCATCATGGCACCCATCGTGGTGCATTTTGATGGCCCAGTTTATTATCGTTTAGCATAAGACCGTCTCAGACCGCTCAGGCTGCCATAGCAAAATATCATAGACTGGGGGGCTTAAACAACAAAAATTTGTTTCTCACAGTTCTGGACGCTGGAAGTCTGGGATCAGGGTGCCAGCAGGGTTGGTTCCGGTGAGAACTCTCTTCCTGGCTTGCAGATGGCCGCCTTCTCTCTGTATGCTCACATGGCCTGTCCTCTGCGTGTGTGTGTGCATGGAGAGAGAGAGAAAGAAATATCTCTCTTCCTCTTATGAGGCTGCTGATCCGGTTGGATCAGGACCCCACCCTTATGACCTCTCTTAACCTGAAGTGCTTCCTAAAAGCCGCGTCTCCAGATGCAGTCATGTTGGGGAGTTAGGGCTTCAACATAATATGAACTTTGTCGGGGATACAATTCAGTCCATAGCAAAGACCTGACTTCGAATTGCATCAGTGTAAACATCAAACATCCATAAAGTAGGGACTAATATAAGTATTTCTAGAAGAAGGGATTTGAGAATGAAATGGGGAAGAAAGACAGATGAAGCTGATCAGGAACCCAGGGGAGAAACAGAGGTTCTGTCCAGCATATCTGCCCAGTGGGATGCTTGGGTCTTACAGGACTCTCCACCCAGGTCACAGTGAATGAGGGCAAGGCTCAGGATGTGAAGGCTGTGGCCATCTTTGGCATGTTTCAGACAGCGTTTGATATTGGAAAGACAAGTCTAGAATAGTGATAGCCCAGGATCCCATCAATTAACAAACAAGGAAATAAACAAGACCAGGGGGCCATCAGAGATCTACGAGGAGGGGCAAGATCCAGCCCTCAGAGGTTGGGACCAGGGGGTTCAGGACTGTGGAACCCCCCTTTTACTAAGGTGTTGGGCAGGGAAACAGAGAATCTGGGTCTCTTGTACCAAACACTTGTTCCCGGGTACTTGGTTTGGTAACGGGGAATCAGAGGAGAAGCTCAGCTAGGAAGGCCCAGGGGTGCTGTGTGCCATGGGTTACGAGGACACTCCTGGGAATCCGTCGCTGTGGGAGCCTAGCAGCTATGGCTGGCTCACTGGACCCTGGGATTGGAAACCTCACTTAACTCCTCGGGTTATTCCTATAGTCCTAAGGGCCTTTTTCCTTATGGTCATGGCATGCTGGAGTTTGCAGAGTAACCTACAAAAAGACAAAGAAAAAGCCATTTCATAAGAACTGGCAATCTTATGGTCATCAGGATGTCAAGAGCCTCCAGGGCAGAGAGCTGTGCACCCAGGTTTACAATGATCACAGAAGTCTCTTCTCAGGAGAAACCCCTTTTCTCCAATAGGAGGGAAGACTTCTGATGTCAAAACTTATGACACTCAAGGCAAATAGTATGTCCAGATTCCTACTGCCTCAGGCCTTCTACAGTCAAGACCCACACTGGGCTTCTGAGTATCTAATTGACTAACTTTTACAAACCATAGGGGAACATGAGGGGTTGTCAGGATGTCTTAACAGAGCTGTCTGTCCTAACAGAAGCAAGCAAGCGTTTATCTGTGGATTCGTAGGGCAATGAAATACTTCTGCCTCATTAACTACCAAATCCCAAGCAGTGGAAGGGATATGGGTAAGATTTCAAGATTGTTCCGAAATCGCTGTATGATTTGTTCCTACTCACTTTGTGGTTTCTGTCATTCTGATTTACTCCTCACAGCCGAGGCGCTCATAGATCATGATGAAGTTACATTATTCTGCAGGCAGCAGGGTGGCACAGAGATTAGGAGTCCTGGGTCTGTGACATTTGGACTTACGCTCTTGAAGTCTCAACTTTCTTGTCTGGAGAATGAGTTTAATAAGATGTGTCTGTTATAGGATTGTTAATAAGACGATGCATGTCCATGGCCACATAGTAACCATCCAATAAATGAGAGCTATTATCACATTCACGTCTCCCGTACTGGAGCCTACACTCCATGAGGACAAGAGATACACTTATTATCTCCTGGTCATCACACATTCTGTAGCACATATCATGTGGCCAGTGACTGTGCAATGGAAAAGGAAATATTGAACTTCCTGGACGACCTCAGGCCACACCTGTTCCTTAGCTCTCTGCTAAAAGGTGGAGATTTGGGGATCTCTCTTCAGTGACAATAACATGCATTCTAAAATATCTTAAAGTTGTGCAAGTGCAACCTAAAATTTTAGTACTCCATGATATTTCTTAGCATATACTACTGGTACGTAAACACTGAACTACTCTTTTGTTTTGTTTTGGTGAGGAAGATGGTCCCTGAGCTAACATCTGTTGCCAATCTTCTTCTTTTTGCTTGAGGAAGAGTGTCACTGAGCTAACATCTGTGCCACTCCTCCTCTATTTTGTATGTGTGGTGGTGCCGCAGCATGGCCTGATGAGTGGTGTGTAGGTCTGCACCTGAGGTCTGCACCCGTGAACCCTGGGCTGCCAAAGCAGAGCACGTGAACTTAACCACTACACCACTGGGCCAGCCCCTGAACTACTGTTTTAAATGATCTCAAACATTTTTAATCTTAGCAATAATTTAATTATTTTGACTTGTCTGTGCACAGCGGTTACCTGAGATACTTGTTAAGATGCAGAATCCTGGGCCCCATCACTAGAGATTTTGGTTCATTGGCCGGAAGTGGAGCCAGGAATGTGTATATTTCAAGAGTTCCCCAGGTATTTCGGATATAGGAGGGACTTGGACTAAACTTTGAGAATTACTGCTGAGTTCTCTCACACTCTGAACCACGCATGGGAAAAGCCATCCCCTCTGTGTCTGCTGTGGTTCAGCGGGGACAACAGAGCTGCGAAGAGTAGTGAGAACAAGAAGTGACTCTAGCAATTGGAACTTACACGGGTGGGAGGAGCTGAGGGAGTGAGTCTGGCAAGGGGTGGAGACCTGTGTCATTGCACATGACAGCCTGAAGCACTGGTGGTGAGAAGGTCATGAGCGGCCGGAAGTCCCACAGCCTGGGTGGGGCCGGCTGCTGAAGTGGCCCTGCAGGGGAGATCTGCTTGTGGACTTACTGACAGAGAAATCTGGGGAGCTGCTGCCTCTGGAAGTCAGCCTGGGGCTGTTCTTGTTGGTGGGGCCAGCGTCAGAAAGAGGAGCCCGCCACTCACATCTGCGTCTGTCTGTCACCACGCCTGCCCACTGTGATCCGAGAATAGTGACTTCTTCATTTCTCCCACAAGTTCCTCTTTTTGTCCCCTCTAACCCAGATCTGTACAGGGAAGAATCTTCTGGAGAACATAGTTTCCATCTTTAGTCACATGAACATAGCCCACTGCGACACCTCATTAGGATGCCCTAAAAATGAAGCATATGGCTCCCTTTCCATCCTGCTGCTTCAGGCCTCTGAGTGCTGGGGGTTCACGCCTTCTCTCGAGTTTCTGTGTATTTCAAGAGCACCGTGGAGAGAATTCCAACGTCTTTATTAGGGAGAACTTGCCACTCTTTGCAAACCTGAGTAAATTGGGCTTGTTGGAAGCATATGCACACTGAGCTGCATCCTTGAGCCAGCCTGCTGGTGATAAGTAATTTAAAGACGACAGATGTAGGTGTGACACGAGTGGAAGATGTTTAGAGTCATATCATCAGGAAAGTTAGCATTTTAGCATTCAGCCAGGCATATTTGCAAACAGGGAAACTCGTATGTTAGGTGTCTCTCACGACAGGCATCCCGCACCGCCTCAGAGGTGGTCTTTGTGAGTGGACAGCTCCAGGGCTGGGGGAAGCCTGTTTGCCCAGCGAAGGTGAAGGATGCCTCTAGTGGGCTGAGTAATAGCCCTTAGCATACCAGATCCTAATCCTTGGAACGTGTAAATGTTACCTTAGGGTCACAGATGGAATATGTTATAAAATTTTGTAATTTTTTATATTTGTAAAATATGTTACAGATGGAAAAACGATCTTTGCAGATGTGATAAAGTTGCGGATCTGGAGATGGGGAGATTATCTTGGCTTACTGGGTGCCTCCAAATGCCATCATGGGTGTTGGTGAGAGAGAGGCAGAGGGAGAATTGACAGAGAAGGGGAGGAGGCAACGTGAGCACGGAGGCAGAGACTGGAGTGATGTGGCCAGAAGTCAAGGAATGGAGCAGGCACCAGGAGCTGGACGAGCCGAGGGACCCATGCTCCCCTAGAGCCACCAAAGGGAGCGTGGCCCTGCTGGTCCTTTCTCTTCAGCCAGTGATACTCACTTTGAACTTCTGGCCTCCAGTACCATGAGAGAACACATTTTTTATTGTTCTAAACCACCAAGTTTGTGGTAATTTGTCACAACAGGCACAGGAAACTGATATAACATCTCTTTTCCATCCTCAGCTTCCCGTGCCCGGCCCCTTTGAATGGAACTCCCTTCTTGCTGCAATGGTGGGGCTGGCGGTGCAGGGGGACAGCCAGACTCCTGAGCCCAGAGCAGAGCAGCCACGACCTGCTCTTCATTCCCAAGGCATTTGACAGAGCACGAGCTGAGGCTGCATCCTGTTTGGTGGCTTTACTGCCCATAGACCCTGGGATTTTGGGTTAGTTTGCTTAGGCTGCTGTAGCAAAGTACCACACGCTGGTTAGTGCAAACAACAGGTCTGGAGGCCACAAGTCTCAGATCAAGGTGCGGGCAGGGCTGGTTTCTCCTGAGACCTCTCTCCTTGCTTGTGGATGGCCATCTTCTCACGGTGTCTTCACATGGTCTTCCCTTTGGATCTGTCTCTGTCTTAATTTCCCTTTTCACTAGTCATGTGGGATTAGGTCCCACTCTAATGACCTCTTTCTAACTCAATTACCTCTTTAAAGGCTTATTTCCAGACACAGTCACATTCTGGGGTCCTGGGGGTTAGGACTTCAACATACGAACTCGAAGGGCACACAGTTCAGCCCCTAACAGAGCTCATCTTCTTGTGCTGAGGTAGTTCTTGTGAAGGGCTCAGGGCTGTGTTGGGCACATAGTAAACGCTATATAAACAGTGAGTTATTCAATTATAGCACAATCATTTCTGTTCTCTCATACAGCTACAAACCACCGCATTTGTATGTACGTGACACGTCTATTATACATCTATAAATATGTGCACATTTCTGTGTCACCTTCCTTGGTAAAATTTTAGTGATTTCATTCAGGTAGTATTTCTGGGTGGTTTGTCTTCAGTTTCTGAGAATCCTTGGAGATATCTAAAATGTATGGCAAACCCTCTAAATTGTCATTGATTCATCAAAAATTTATTGAGAGTACTGTGCTGGCCTCTAGGCTACGATGTTGATCAACACTGGGCAGGTACAATTCAGTTAAAGGTCATGGTGAAGCAAGTACAATGTCCCAGAGGAGGCTGGAGGAAGGGTCTTGCCCTGGAATAAGCTTGTCTGCAAACTCTTTAACTTTCCCACCCATTGAGCAGGAAATGTCCGTGTCCTCTCCCCTCGAGTCTGGCCTGGTGCTGAGACTGAGTTGACCAGTAGAAGGTGGCAGACGTGATGCCTCACCCAGGAGTGCTAGCTCTAGGGGAAACAGCTGCCGTGTCCTGGGTCTGGCTGTTCCGACACTGCCATGCTGTGAGCAAGCTCAAGCCAGCTGTGTGGAGAGGCTGTGGGAAGACAGAGGCCCCATGAGCTCAGGTCATTCAGCCATCCCAGGGGATGCCAACATCAGAGTGAAGGAGCCATCTTAGATATTGCAACCCCAGCTTCACAGTGTAGAGAAGAACTAGGAATTCAACGGGAATCCAGAACCAAGGCCTCAGACATGTGGCCCCATCAAGTTGTCCCAGCCACCTCCAGTTATTCAGCCATCTCATAGTCATTGCAGCTCTGGTGTGCGCAAAGTCTTCACTTGCAAAATTGTAAGCTTCATAAAATAGTGGCTATATTACTACTTAGTTTCCGGGTGATATGTTACATAGCAATAGGTAACTGGAGCAGGACCCTAATCTAGACTTGGAAGATAATTAAGAAATCCTATATATCAGAAATCCAACATTAAAGTGCAGAACACCCACAGACACAGAATCTTCAGAGGATGCCTGCCTGCAAAATCCAGTCTCTTTCTTTCAGTGTGAAGGCTCGAGGTGAGTGCCTCTTTAGGCCTCAGGTCTTACGGTCCTTGCTCTGTTGATGAACTCTGTAGAAAGCGCTGATTTAGTTTCTTATATAAACTGCTACCTGTGTGGGGCCCGCAGGTCTCCTGGGGGCTGGTGCTGCAGTTTGCTACAGTGGCCACCTCCAGCTGCTCTGCGGGTCATTCCTGCGGGCTGCTTGTTCAGCCTTTCCTCCACGCGTGCTTCCGTGCTGCGGAATGCTACCTAATTCTGCTACCTAACCTGCTTCGCTAGAGGTCCTGCCCTTCCCTCTCTCGCTAATTATTTTTCTCTATCCAGAGCTCCTTTTTTTCTTTACTGGGTCCAAAGAGCCCTCGAACCTTCATTCCTCCAACTCGCCGTCATGCTACGTTGCAGAAAAGCAGCATGACAGAGAGATTCAGGCGCTGGCCCTGGAGTTAGACTGCCTGAGTCTGAAGCCTGATTCCGCCTCTTACGGAATGACCTTGCAGTCTCTGTGCTGCCATTATTCTCAACTACAAAGTGAGGGAAACGGCAGTGCCCGCCTCATAGTGTTGGTGTGAGGATAAAAGAGAGCATTCATGTAAGATGCACAGAACAGTGTCTGGCCTGGAGCAAGTCCCCAATAAATGCTGTTGACCTTTATTATTAATAACACGCATCTTGCAGTATGGTAATAACGTGCCTATTTATGGGTCTGCTCACTCGATTCTCAATTCCTTGAGGACAGATAGCATCTTGAGCACTGTCGCCTCCCTAACGCCCTGCACAAAGTGTGACATAGGTTAGGCGCTCAACAACTGCTTCTTGAGTGGGCGAAAGCCACAAAGACGATCGGAAGACTGTGTTCTGTCAGTGGAAGGCCAACAATATCCTCATAAGAGAGAGGCAGCGGACGGTGGACGGCAGCTTGATTCTGTAGAACGTACTCCACGTCCTTCTAAGAATCGAAAGGACAGAACACTGATTGGGAGGGTGAGTGTGAAACAACCGGATTCTCTGTGGGTTCCCGTGCATGGTTCACTGTTATGACCGTGTGCTTAAGGTGCCTGAAAACGTGAGGCTGTAATGACCAAGTTCCTGAAGAAGTTGGGTGTAGGGGTCTTGGACCTTTAACCCCTTGATTGTTCTCGAAGAGGCTGCATAAATGATTGGGAAACTATTTATTTTTACGTAGGACCCACCTTGTTTAAGAAAGAATTTAAAGCACATCCAGAGAATCTTGTAATAGCTCAGTGGGATAAAATAAAGGGAGGAAATTGAGTCTTAAGAAGAAGGTAGATGAAAAAGCTGGATGAAGTGGGAGTGAGGTTTGCTCCCGAAATGCTTGCTGTGCAGTCCTATACATTTTCCAGAGGTGGGTCACAAATTTGAAGCTGAACTTGCGACTAGTTTTTACGTGAAAACCATAAAATAACCAATTACATGAGTCACACTTTGGAATCATGATGTCAACAGCCAGCGTTTATCAAGTGCTTATTGGTGCCAGTGGCGGCTCTCAGCGCCTTGCGTGTGTTAACTCAGTCCTCGCAGCGGTCATAGGGGGTAGGCATTGGCCCAGCTCAGGCAGCCGGTTCACAGTTTTGAAAGCAGGCCGACCAAGAGTTGAAACCAGGCACCTTGGTTCCATGCTTTAAAAATCTACTGATTGTTTAAAACAAGAACAACTAAATCTCATATTAAGAACCTGGAAGAAATTCTTTCTGGTCCTTGAATTTCCCTGGGAATCTCATCTGAGAAGCATAGGAGACCCTGCAATCAAAAAGGAAATGGAGTGCACGCCCATCTATGGCAGTTCTCCAAGCCGACCCCAGATTAGCAGCACGAGCCTCGCCTGGGCACTGGTTAGACACGCACATTCTCTCCATGTCTCTTTCCAGGTCGACTGCATCAGAAGCTCTGGGCTGGGGCTCAGCAGTCTGCATTTGAACAGACCTTCCAGGGGCTTCTGAGGGCTGCTCAAGTTTGAGAACTGCTGCTCTAAGGGGTAAGAGGCTTCCGGTGCGGAAGGAGATGTCTGGCTTCTCATGACCTTGGTGAGGAGCTTCGGGAGGTAGAAAGCTCGTGAAATCATGGTGACAGCCTCAGAGACCAGAGGGTTGAAAGCTAGGAGGTGCCATAAAAACCAGTGACTCTGTTTCTGGCTAACCCATCAGGCTGTAGGGAGGGAATGTGGTAGTAACAGTAATGCCTCCTCATGCGAGTTAGAAACACAGAGTTTGACAAAGTGCTGTCCTTGTATTTTCCCTTAAGAGTCTTATACCACCAGTGTGAATTAGAGATTTTCATGTTGAGAAGATGTTACAGGGGAAGAATTAGAAGCTGGGGGAGTTTGGTTTATTCAGGGTTGTACAACTGATACATCTCAGAGCCAGGACTTGAGTCCAATCTCTTCTACTTCTGACTACTTCTCAACGCTTTTCTCTTCTTTCCACCTCCAGCCGTGCCCGCTGTCTTTCACCGGCATTGTTAAGTAGCGTCCTTACTGGTCTCCCTCCATTTACTCTCATCCTTCTCCATCCATTCTTCTGAGTCACTCATTTAACATTTACTCTTGGAACACCTTCTACCTGCCAGGTGCTGTTCTCAGTGCTGAATTACAGCAGAGATCAAACTCTCGGAGCTGGTTCTCATAGAGCTGGCATAGCAGCCACAGAGATCCTCCTGAGTTAACGTAGATCGTGTAGCTTTTGTGTTTAAAATTGTGTGTGGGCTTCCCATTGTATTTAGAGCACAATTCAAATATCTTGCCATGGCCCACAAGGCCTTCCTGATTCGTCCCTGGCTTTCTCGCCTACCTCATCTTCAGCTCTCCCCCTTGTCCCTCATGCTTCTGTGACACTGGTTGAGTCTCAGTTCCTTGAACACCCCCAAGAACCTCTCTAACCCTAGATTTTTGAACATCCCTTTCCATTGCCTGGAATACTCTTACGCTTGATCCTTGTTTGTCAAAATCCTTCTCATCCTTTTGGTCTCAAACTAAATGCCACCTCTTCAGAGAGGCCTTCTCCATCTGCCTTTGTCCATTTGGGCCACTATAACAAAATATCACAGACTGGTTGGCTTATAAACAGAAATTTATTTCTCACAGTTCTAGAGGCTGGAAGTGCAAGATCAGGGTGTCAGCATGGTTGAGAGAGGGTCCTCATCCTGCTTCATAGCTGGTGACTTCTTGCTGTGTCCTGACTTGGTGGAAGGGGTGAGAGGTCTCTGCGAGGTCTCTTTTATAAGAACAGTGATCCTATGCACAGGGCTCTACCCTCATCACCTAAGCATCTCCCAAAGGCCATCACATTGGGCATTATTTCAACATATGCATTTTGGGGAGACCCAAACATTCAGACCAAAGCATCATCCAACATGAAATATCCAAGATGGCTTCTTTACTCAAGTGTTGTCACCTGGCTGGAATGGCTGAATAACCAGAGCTCCCTGGGCCTCTCTCTCCCCACAGCCTCCCCACACAGCTGGCTTGACCTTGCTCACAGCATGGCAGTGTCGGAACAGCCAGACTCAGGACATGGCAGCTGGTTTCCCCTAGAGGACCATTCGAGGAGAGGATGCTGCTACTTCTTTAAAGCCTTGGTAAAGTGTTACTTCTGCCATATTCTACTGGTCAACACAGTCCCAGAACCAGGCCAGATCCAAGTGGAGGGGACGTAGACATCTCTTGTCAGTGTGTGGGGGCAATGTCAAAGAATTTGTAGACAGCCTTGTTCCATCACAGGGCCCTTCCTACAGCATCTACTGGCAGACTGCCTGCTTCACCATGACATTTAATCTGAATTGTAGCTACCCAGTCTTAGTCACATTGTAACCCCAGAGGCCAGCACAGCACCCTCAGTAAATCTGTGTTGAATGAGTGAATGAAAATTAAGAGGGTTTGCCCTATATTTTAGATATCCTCAAGGGTTCTGGGAAACAGGAAACAAGACATGAAACCCCATGAAGGACCACGTCTGTCTTGTTCGCTGTTGATTGCTCTGTGGGTGACACAGTCCCTGGTGCCTGTTTTAGGTTACCCCGCAGCTGTGTGTGGAATGAATGAGTGCCTGCGTGCATGCATGTGTGAGCCCAGTTCCACTGCTCTTTCAGTGGCACTAAAGCTGATTGTGTGTGAACCTCAAGGTGTTTTTCTGCAAAGCTGCAGAGCCCCCTCCAGGTCTGCCCTTCCTGGTCTCTTACCCTCCAGCCCCAGGGAGCTCGATAGCACCACATCCCCCAGCACCTTGCACCGTACTTCACACACGTGTTCTCCGATTCTTGAAGCAGGAGCAGGAGTGGAGCATTGTGAGTTTTAAAACATACTCAGCTCAGAAAAAACAGCCTTCAAAGCCAGGAGGTCTCTCAGCTGTGATGTTTAGACTTCTGGAGCCTATGCAGCCTTCTCTTGCAGGGCGCACCGGAAAAGAGGAAATTGGAGAAGGCTTTGGAGAAGGACGTGGAAAAAGCCCTGCGTGTGTGAAGCTCTTTTCTCCGTGCCCGGAGGAAATGCGAAAGGGGACCGTGTGAACATCTGTGGGAGCTACTGAGAGGCTCAGGATTAGCGTCAATGCCTGTTATGACATTCTGCCTTTCAGCTCAATAAAATGATTTTTTGTGAGGCTTTTTCCTTTGGTCAGTTTACTTTGAGTATTTTGGATTCAGGGTTTGCTTACAAGGGACCAGGGCAATTGCTTGTGAAGTAAGAGATTCTTCTGAATCTTTATCTTTGGTTTAGACTTCCCCTCTGAGCTTTAGGCCCGTATATCAGACTGCCTGCCATCGATCTCACCTGGATATCCCACAGCTGTGTCAAACTCCACTTACCCAAAATAGAATAAATTCTCTGTCCCCAGAAATGAGTTCTTCCTGCCATAGATCCTCTGAGGATCAAAGGCACCACTCTCTGTGCAGCCAGTCCCTTGAGAGAAGCGTGGACCTCATCCTCCAAGCTTCCCTAATATTGACGGCAATGGATACTGTTGACTGACAGCTTCCTGTTTTCAGGGCCTGTGCTAAGTGTTTTGTGGGCATTAACTCTCTTGGTCATCACTGCAGCCTACGACTAAGATGATGTTGCTATCTCCGTTTTACAGATGAGGAAACTGAGATGATTGCAAAAGGATCTTCTTGCCTGCAGTCCCTTTCCAGCCACAGTCTCTATTCACCAGAAGGCAGCCTGACTCCTTTTAAAAATGCAGATCTGGGGCCGGCCCCGTGGCCAAGTGGTTAAGTTCGTGCACTCCTCTTCGGCAGCCCGGGGTTTCACCGGTTCGAATCCTGGGTGCGGACATGGCACCGCTCATCAAGCCATGCTGAGGCAGTGTCCCACATGCCACAACTAGAAGGACCCACAACTAAAAATACACAACTATGTACCCAGGGGCTTTGGGAGAAAAAGGAAAAAAATGCGGATCTGATTGTGTCCTTCCCTTCCTTAACAACCTTCACTGGCTCCCCGATGTCCTCAGAATACAATCCACACCCTTAGCCAGGAGTACAGGGCCCTTCCTGACCTGGTCATTGAGCATCCGGTCATTTCTAGCATCTCCTACCTGCCCCTCGCCCCCCCCATGCACTGGCCATGCCGAATGCCTGCAACCTCTTGAAATAGGCATGTTTTCCCCTGGCTTCATTCAATTCTTTGTTCATTCTACAAATCCTCTGGGGGAACCCACCTTGTGCCAGGCCTGGTCTAGGACTGGCGATGAAGCTGTGAACAAAACAGATCAAGCCCCCGCCCTCATGGTGCTTGGATCCTAGTGGAGCTGTCAGATAATACACAGGCGAATAGCTAAATGTGTAACGTGCAGTCATAGTCCTGAGTGCTGTGTGGAGAAACAAGGCAGCGCGAGGGGCCGGAGGGTTCCGTTGTTTGTAGGATTGTCAGAGAAGGTGCTGTGCAAAGGCCCTGAGGTGGGAGCTTGCCTGGAATCTTTGAAGAACATGGAGGAGGTCAGTGTGGCTGAAATGGTGAACCCGGGGAAGGTGAAAGGGAGGAAGTCTCTGATACAGCACGGATCTGTCACGTGTGTCCTTAGCCACAGCGAGTGCTTGGGGTTTTATTCCAGGTGTGATGCAGAGCTACTGGAAATTCGAGACCAGGGAGAGATGGAATCTGACATTTTAGTAGGATCACGCCCAACAGCCTGGCGTGGGGCCCGAGGGGGAGCAAGGAGCTGACGCAGGAGGCCCTTGTGTGCCTCTCGCTGCCATTTCGGTATCCATTCCCCACCCCACTTCATCTTTGTCTGGTGACCACTATCGAGCTCCCCACACCAATCTCAAGGGTGTCTCGGTGCAAAAACGTCCTCAGTTCTCTTCTCTCTCCTCCCGACTCAGACTTGTATCTTTCTTCGTAGTGCTGAACCTCACTGTTTTGCAGTAATTTAGGTCTGCGTAATGTCCAAGGTATGTATGAGTGTGTGTCTGACTTTCTGACTGGCTCTGAGCTCTGTAGCACGGACCTATTCTTCTGTTTCCTTGTGTTTCCAGCTCCCTGGCGTGGCACCTGATACTTGAGAGCTCTCAACGTGGGTTTGATGAATGAATGAATGAACACATGAAGAGTTTGGGTAACACTAGACATTCAAGTGCTTAATTGACTGAACAAAGGAAGGTTTTAAATAATGCGATTCAGTCAAAATGGACTATGTATGTACAGGGCAGCTTTAGATATAACAGGCAGAGGTAAGGGCATCAGGGTTCAGAAATGGTTGTGCAAACCTGACTTGTGGAGACATGGAGTGGACCCTTCGATTACAGTGCCGTCTGCTGGGAAGAGCTCCAGGCTGTTCGCTCACCCACTGGTCTCGGTTCACGATTCCATCACAGCTCATAGTGGGCCAGGGCCAGCAGACTTACATGCAGCCAGCATCAGCCAAACAGAACCAGAAATGTGCTTTTTTGTTTAGGTTGTCAAAGACTTCTGCAAAACTCACTTCAGCTTCCTGAGGGTGGAGGATGTGACTCGAGGGGTTCTCATAATGCATATGTCAAACGGCTTTCCATTGGTTTTCTGTATGTCGGTGCCTCCCGTAAAATAAACCTGATATAAGAAAATCTTTTTTTTTTTTAAAGATTTTATTTTTCTCCTTTTTCTCCCCAAAGCCCCCCGGTACATAGTTGTATGTTCTTCGTTGTGGGTCCTTCTAGTTGTGGCATGTGGGACGCTGCCTCAGCGTGCCGTGTCCGTGCCCAGGACTCGAACCAACGAAACACTGGGCCGCCTGCAGCGGAGCGCGCAAACTTAACCACTCCGCCACAGGGCCAGCCGCGAGAAAAATCTTTTTTTTTTTTTTTTTTTTTTAATACAAATGACTGAAAGGTGATTTATTTGATGAATGAATCAAATCATGATGGGATTCCTTTAACTAACAAGGTTCGTTAATGCATTTAGAGTGATGCTAGTTCTTAAAGAAAAACATTTACATGCAATTTCCAAGGGTCCTCCTGCAAGCAGCTTTGAGTGGTCCTAACCTGGAGAGTGTCCGTCAGCGGAGCTCCCTGGGCGTTCCTAGCAGGCTTCTCTGCTGGCATGCAGGGGCTCCCAGAGGGTAGAAGACACCAGATCCTGGCTCTCAGTCCAGACCTGCTGCGTCTGAAGCGTAGCCCTAGTCCTACGTAGCTATTGAGCACTTGAAACGTGGCTAATGCAGCTGAAGAACTGAATTTTTAATTTAGTTTAACTTAATTTAATTATAATTAATTAAAATTTAAAAAGTGAAACTTGATTCAGCTACCGGAAAATTTCTAAGTCTGTTTGGAAATGTGGGTACATGGATTTGCTTTTTCAGCTATAAATTTTTATGAACTCTAAATACAGATCAAGTATTTCTGATGAAACTTTAATGTACCAGTTAAGATGTATTTTATACACATTATAAAGTCTGTATTAAAGTCTGAAGACTTTATTACAAAAGGATATAAAATATCTCCTTATTGCTTTTTTATCCTGATTACATGTTGAAATAATATTTTGGATATATTGGGTTAAAATACACTAAAACTAATTTCACTAGTTTGTTTTTACTTTTTAAAAATGACTATTGGAAATTTCTAAACTATACACTTGGTCCACATTATATTTCTACCGAACAGCACTGGCAGTCTGTTAGGAGCACCCACCACCTCCTCACCACCCACGTCCTGGTCCATGTGAGACCACACAGCCTGAATGAGACAGTCCAGGGCGCCAATCACCCCAGCGCTGTAATCCCGTCTGATTAGACGAGGGATGGACATCAGCGCTGAGGACCAATGTTATAGTATTTGGTACTTGCGGGATCCCTGATGTGGGTCCTGTCTCTATGGATATAAAGAAAATATCAGAAATGTTCCACCATTCCTCCTAGAAAGTCCTTCAAGCTGGGCCAACTGAATTCTCTCACCTCGGATTTTGGAATCAAGACTTGCTAGCACGAAGCTGTTGGATGTGGAACTCTGAGGTGCGCCAGAGATAGACTCACGGAAACAAGCCTTCCTTGGGAGAGCGGGGGCCTTGCAGGCTCCAGGATGCCGTGTGGAGAGCTGACCCCCGTGCAGAGCCGTGAAGTCTGGGAGGAAACACAGCGGGGGCCTAGCTGGACCCCCACGTGGGGTTTTGTGAGACTCTCTTGTATCTTTACCATAAATCTCCCTTGGTTTAACCTAGCTTGAGTGGATTTCTGTTTCTTAAAGCTAATGATTTTCGTACACACACGATTAGGCAAACATGTCGGACGTTTGTAAAAATAAAAAGGGCATCAAAATTGTGGTGATCATTTTGCAATATATGCGTATATTGAATCAATATGTTGTACACCTGCGACTAAGGTAATGTTATATGTCAATTATATCCCAATAAATTTAAAACATAAACACCAAAATTAGAGAAATGAGCATGTGTATGAAGGAGGGAATGAGGTCTGAGGGGGGACCAGAAGGGGTCTTCAAAGTGCGGCCTGGAGATTACTGGGGGAGCCTGAAGACACTTTTAAGGGGGTCTCCATAAAGTCAAAATAAGTTTCCTAATAATGCTAAGGCATTCTTTGCTTTTCCTGTTCTCACTGTCTCCTGAGTGCACAGTGGAGTTTTCCAGAGACAGCCTGGTGTGAGATACAGCAATAGGTTAAGAGCAGACGCAAATACAAGCACGCAGCTGTCTTCCGTTAAACTGCACATTAAAGAGGTTGATAAAAATGTCCAGCAATGCCATTCTTCTCACCAATTCTTTTGATTATGGAAGTTATTTTTTATACAACTGTACTATTTATGTTAACATGTAAAGGGTTTATTAAAAATTTTAAGGTTTCTTCATTTTAATTGCTAATATGTTAAACGTCAATGGATATAACCCACATAAACAAAGGCTCTTTGTTGTCCTCAGTAATCTTTAAGAGCGTGAATGGTTCTGAGCAGAAAATAGTAAGACAAATCAGCAGAGTCCGTGGAGGGAGGCTTGGTTTAGAGTTGCTCTGAGCTTTTCTTCTCTGTTTATAATGCCCGAGTCTGAAGTGGGCCAAACGAGAGTGTGATTCTAGCGGTTCTCAACCTTGACATCAAAATCAATTTAGGGGACTAAAATAAACACAGATTTCCAGGCCTCTGTCCCCAGGTATTTGTTTGCTGAAGTCTGAG